AAGGTAGCCGAGAGGACTACATTATAAGCATCTGTTTCAACCACTAAAGGTACATAAGAGTCGGCAGTAGTATGTACGGCACTCTTCAGTTCTTCCATTAAATCCTCGAAAGATTCTTGGGCAGATGGGGGCATGGGATGTTTAACTGTGTTTTCCACACATAGTGGTGTTGTCCATAAGGGCAATCGTGTTGGTCAAATTTTCTTTGGAGTTTCTCTCATCAGTGGAGCTTGTGCATGACGAGAGCCAAACTTTTACCCCTTTAGTTCGAGCACATTGTGCGTATCTGAGAAAAGGCACAAACATAAAGGAAAACCATTATTTTAGCAATTAATCGCTTACCTTCGATCGTGCATTGATTTCGAAGATTCCGGAACCTTCCATTCCTTCGCGTGATCGCCAGCCTACGGAGTTTTATCAGGGAAGCTACTAATTTTGCCAGTTGACCTTCATTTTCTAGAAGCCGAAGGTCATTGAGTCCCCTATATATTTGGCGTAGGTCTGGCGTAGTTGTACAACGCTTTGGCGGCATTTTTGGCTACGTTGGCAGTGTTTTTGTTAACACGTTTTTCGTGGTCAAAGTCGTTGGAATTTTGATTTTTCTTCGGCTGGGTTAGAATTTTTGCGGGGAAATTTTTGGGTGTTTAGTTCGGAATAGCGAGAAAAAGATGAAGATCTAACAGTGCGCTGGTGGTTTTTGAATGGTGGGGACGACTATCGACTTACCACATGACGATGTAACCTCTTTATACCAGACTTGTAAACAATGCGGTTAGTTTTCGAATCGGCAACCTGCCGCTATCTTTAAGTATACTTGAATGTAGATCGTTTCGGTCGGTTGCTTTATAACCCTTCAAGAAGCAGAGTTTCTGTGATACTTTCTATTCAGAGAGGGGATCTGTGTAGATAGACCACTCAGCACCATTGCACGCGTCAGAGGAAGCACATAAAGCTGGTGGTCCACAGAACTGCGAATCAAAATGTTTAGCCCACCACTTCAACCGTCATTATAGTTTAGTGATTAGGGAGTCATTCAATTCGCAGATTCTTTCGTTGACACCAGATCGGATACCTTCGGTGACTTGAATGAGAGGAATACCTTTTCTGGTATTACTAGAAAGATTAGCAACTTCCATCTCTCTAGCACGTCCACACCACCAAGTTTCATGGTCCGCTTGTAGACTTCTGCGCAATTCTCAACCCGAGGATCGGTCTTCTCCACTATAACTAGCGTCGGCCGGGGCCAAGCGGCATCTGTTTATCAGCTACAAGGAGACAGCGGATATCTAGCTCATCACTGGGTGACGGGCAACTTCACAACTGCTGATACTGGCAGGAACTATGGTATATTTGATATGCGCCAATTGTGATTTAAGGTTGTCGTCAGAAGCCGAGCCAAGCACAGTTGACAGTAAAGCTTGGTACTTGGTTAAGCTCGTAACGTTCCGTCGATTCGCGACGTTCGGTCGGTAGTGCGTACGCTTGGGCGACCCTCTAAAACACATGCAAACCTTAGCACGAACCAATGTGTGATCGGAGTCCAGGGAATTTGACCAGTACGATCAGTAGTCTGCTGCGCTTCCGTATCATCTGTAACATTACAATGTGGTCGAGCTGGGACCACTCTTTCGTCTGAGAAGGCAAGCGCCAAGTAAATGTCTGTTTTCTGGAGTCCAAAACATCGCTAATCGTATTCTACCGAGGTGAAAACTACACAGAATGGTGCTTTCTTGGTGGCAGGTAGCCTACTCGCGCGTTAAAAATCTTAGCAAGAATGGCAATATCAGTCTTTTCGGAGGTACGAAAATCATGTAGTTAATGGTGAAAGTAATCTTTGACTGCATCCGGGCTGCTGTCTGTAAGAGCGTAGGCGGAGACGACACAGTGCGCTTCTTTACCTCACTTGAACCTTGTAATCTGCACATTGCCCACTGTTGACTGAAATCCAGTCAAGCAGAGCGGACTCAGCCCTATCACTTAGTGCAACTCCAACACCAGCCTATCCAGAAGCGACAGCCTCTGGGTTTGTCGGAGAGGTCATTCTGATGACGGCGCTAAAGTCTTGCAATGTTGTTTCTGAAAGGATACAGATGTCTCCTGAGAGCGTTTCAAGTGTGCAGGCCAAAGGCCTGTCGTCGGGTCTACATCCGAGTCCGGTTATTGAACGCCGCGAGGTCGATTAGAGAACCAGGTTGAAGAAACGTTCGGGTCTCGGTGATTATGAAAATTTGGTCGAAAGAGAAAGTTCCGTCATCTTGGGGTGAATCAATAGTCGTCCCCATCTTCAAAAAGGGCCTGCGCACAATCCGCTCCAACTACAGAGGAATAAGTTTAGTCCCCGTCGTTTGCAAGCTGCTGGTGTCCATCATACTTCGCAGGCTATCCCCAACACGCGAATCGTTGCAACGAGAAGAACAAGCTGGTTTTCGCCCTGGTCGCGGCTGCATCGATCAAATCTTCACACTTCGCCAGATCCTCGAGCTCCGCCATGTGTATCAGAGGCCAACGATTGCTGTGTTTTTGGATATCCGTGCAGCCTTCGATTCTGTCGATCGTACAGTACTGTGGCACTGCCTACTGAGGAATGGTGTCCCCGAGAAGTTCGTCTCTATACTGCGCGCTCTATACAGTCTGACCTCGGGCAGGGTTAGGGCTTATGGCAAGCTTTCGCCTACCTTTGTGGTCTCCAGTGGAGTTCGACAAGGATGCCCTATCTCTCCGTTCCTATTCAACTTTGCCATTGAGGGTGTCTTGAAGAACGCTCTAGGCGATTCGTTGAATGCTGGCGTTGAGCTCCTCCCAGGTAGTCGAGTTGTTGATTTGGATTATACTGATGATATCGTCTTTCTGGGCGACGATCTACACGTCGTCCAACTTGCATTAAACCGCTTGGCGATTGAAGCATCAAAGTACGGTATGTACTTTTCGCCATCCAAATGCAAGACTCTCTTCCAAGACTGGCAGGTGCCTCTGCCTGCACTCACGCTTGCTGGTGAGACACTAGAGGTTGTGGAGAGCTTTGTCTACTTGGGAAGTTGCATCACTGCTGGCGGAGCTGTTAGAGACGAGATTTCGATGCGCATCTCGAGAGCAGGCCTCGCTTTTTCTAGGCTGAGGCATTTGTGGCGTCGCCACGACATTTGTCTCTCCATCAAAGGGCGGGTCTATTGTGCAACTGTTCGTGCTGTACTGTTGTACGGATGCGAAACCTGGCCCATTCGTAAAGATGACGTGCGCAGGCTATCCGTCTTCGAGCACCGCTGTCTGCGGTCCATTGCCCGTGTGTGGTGGCAGCACCACGTAAGCAATGTGGAAGTTAGACAGCGTGTCTTGGGACGTGGAAGCCACTCGCTTGAGGAGCTCATCTCACTGCATCAACTGCAGTGGTTGGGACACGTATTGCGCATGCCTGTCCAGCGTTACCCCCGTCGTGCGTTGTTTGCACTCGCTGGACAGTTCTGGAAGAGACGGTCTGGTGGACAGCCTACAACATGGAGAAGCCGCATGAAAAAGTTGACGAAATAATTGGCCTCGGCCGGTTGTTGTCGACTACCTGGTTGGGGTCCGAGAGATGCGGATACTTGATGGTTGAAGACCTTAGAAGCCATGGCTCAAGATCGATGTCAATGGCGGACGTGTGCATCAGTGTGTTGCGGTGTCCCTTCTTCCTCCCCCTAAAAAAGAACAAACTGAAAATTTTTTCAAAAACTGTGAGTGGTAAAATAGACAAAAAAAGCAGTTCTTGTTGCTCTTTTCTTATTCATAGTTTCCCTATTCAGCCATGCTTCCGATGGCACAATATCTGTACCACAGATTGTGTATTATATATATATATATATATATATATATATATAGATTGTGAAAAAGTTGCGATCGCTGGGTATCGAGCACCATGAGTTTGGCTGTTGTTGACGGTAATCCGGAGGAACATGAAGGTGATTATAATTGAAAAACGGGACTCGATGCGATCTGTGAGTGGAGGTTGAACAATGGAGACAATAGAGCCAATAAACATAACGAGGTCGAAAGCAATATTGTAATCCATCCATTATCCATAAGTGAGCATAATACTACCCAGTTGTCCTGGCCGAAGTAGAGAGTTGTCTTAGGAGGACCTTACCACAAGCCTTTGATCGAGAATCTAAGTTGGAAGACAGCTGGGCCATATGAAAACGTCGCAACCCGTTTGTTCGTAAAGGTCCAGGGGGCCAACCCACCTTTGAACTACGATGTCACTCAGAGGTAAAGAGGAGTGACTTTATTTAGTGGCGAGTTACGTCCGCCACGTCACGGTGTTGTTACATGGACATGTGTGACTTTTTACAGAGAGAAAGCTTATCAGGCAAAAACCTGCCACGTCCGAGAACACTGTTGCTGAACCATTCGCTGGAATTGGGTAATCTCGAACCAGCCAGTTGGCATCACGAGGAAGTGGTTCGGCAAACCAGCCGCGACCGGAACGGAACCCAGTCTGTTCTTCCTGTTTTATTGATTCACGCGTTGGGGTATGGCCTGCGAATATAGAAGAAGCTTAATACGCTTTGATGACTAAGAACTGATTTTTTGTTTAGAGTAGCGGGATTCTTTATACTCTTTTTTCTCGTACTACTTGGGCCTTACTCATACGCTCAGTTTATAGTTAGAAGCTGTCCACACTTTGTAGCCGCCCACTATTTACATTGCGGATTAGTGCCAACTGGTTTCCTAAACACTTGGCGCGGTATTGCGAAGGTCATATCTGACCTGTTGCTCTCATTTTTACGTAACTAGAACGAACACACGTTTCCCTTGGGCCATCATGAACAGGTATGGTTCTAAGAATGAACTTTATCTAACCAGATGTTGTTACCAAGGTGATGGGAATTAGTGATCTGTACACCACCACACTTATCGTCATACCCTCCACCTAGCGTATATCGGGTTCCTATTTGAATCACCGAAGTGCTCAACTTATCTCCTAACTGATGCTGAACTTTTGTTTCCTTGCTCCTGTTTCTGAAGGTTGGCCCAAGTAAACGATCAAATGAGTGATCTCGTACGTGACACTGAACCTCCCTCCTCTTTAAACGGATCATCCCGTCCCCCATTATCTACTGGTGTTCTCACACCTTCCCATAACATGACCGCAGGTCAGTTGAGTCAGTTGCACACAGCCAAACGCCACCGAGAATTATTGCGAGACTACTCACAAGAATTTCGCCAGATAAAGGCCAAACAGGCAGCTCAGTGTGAACGCGAAGAGCTATTGGGGTCGGTAAGTACAATGCTTATGTTGAGTACCAGAGTGCTCTGTGTTTTCTATGATACGATTCTTTGTTCATGTCAACGTTCGATACCCATTCAAGGCGCTTCCAGAATGCTTGGGATAATAGCCGAACTTCCTTGAAAGTACCCCCCTCTCTCTAAGTACTTATTTTACTGGGAATTGCCTGCTTGGAATCTTTTAGTTAGCTTATTCTGCGTATCCATTTCTGCCGTACGTTAGGTTTAAACCGTGATTCATGTTTCTACCCACTCATTCCCACCCGAATTTCGGTTGATCGTATTCATTGAGTGGGTACATCGGCGAATTGAATTAAACAGTCTTTCCAGCCCTGTAAGTGGAGCACTACTCGACCATACTCCATTTGTTCTGACTGCAATAAAGCCGCATCTGATCTCCCCCACTTCTAGAGAGATGAACACTGTCGTAGCAATTCATTGGCTTTGCTTAACTTCTACTCGATGGGATGCTTATCCTGTCCTCCAAATGAGGAATAATTACCCTTTTTTCAGTCATAAAGAGTTTGCAGAACAGACAAGCTCGTTTTCAGCAGTTCATCACCATGCCTAATACAACACTTAACTAAATAGGTTGATAAAGTGTAAGTTTAGTAACTGGGAAATTAAGGTGCTAAAATGACCTTAAAGGGTATATTATTAACCTGGAAGCTGCACAGACAACAGCTAGCCGCTATATGCCCAACGCCTTAATCTGTCGTTTATGCAGGCACAACGGGGTTGCTGAGACTGATCGAGATCGCCTCCACCAACCCAAAGATTCGGCCTCTTACTTGTTGGGCCGTTCTCCGAGCTTGGTACTTTATCTACATACGTTTCGTCACCAAGTTAGGACATTTTACAAGTTTGGAGTGAACGTCATTATGTGTATCATCTCTGTGTACCAATTTGGTTATTTTAGGACAATTTACATAGGTCACACCAGGCGACGTTTATCTGAACGCATCCGCGATCATCACTTCGCGTGGTTGGGCCGATGATTGAACAAGATGTGCACACCTAGTCCAAACCGATCATCCCGTCGTTATTTCTAAAGCCGTTCGCCCTATCTGCCTTGTGAGGAGTGTCCACTATATAAATGTATGGCATTTGGCCTGATGTTGTGACACCGCAAACCAAATTGTGTTCTTCCTTCGTATATAAATGGTGTTAGCACACTGAAGAATTTCCAGCTACTTTGCCTACTAGTCTCAATTACATTGTACTACTCCCCAGGGCTTTTGTCACTTGCGTCACGTTAGTCTTTTTCATCCGGATTGTACATAAACTTTGACTTACATTATCGCAACGGGATGCTCATCATCATCATACACGTTAGCTAGAGGTTTGGAACACCTCAGCTACTGTGCCGCAATACACAGAAAAAAGGAGAAAAAAATGCAACTGGTGCAAGCCGGCTGAGCTACCGGTGACGGATGGGCCTCGCTCCGGTAAGCTACAAGCCGGCTACTGTGCATCAAAAAGATTACTGTGCAAAATTATATAAGGCTAAATAATGAGATCGTGTTTGGAGGGGAGGCTAACAGGGATGGGGTGGAACAAAGAAACTCACAGCACGAACGCCACTGAGGTCGGCTCCTAGCCATATCAGCAAGTGTGTCCAACCAAATGTGTTCCTCGTCTTTCGGACCCCACCAAGGAGCCGTGACGCTCTAACCGAGCCAGCTCAGAAGTGAGGGCCTTCATTCCTCTCGACCAACTCATCGCTTGGCCACCCCTCTTCTTCTATCCACACCCCCGGCGCGCAAAAAACGCACGTCGCGGGAGTCGGTGGGCTGGCATGCGTAACAAGTGGCCGAGCCATCGGAGCCTGGTGCGTGAAATGACGGTGCTGAGCGGTTCATTTCCTTTTCCTGCGCCGTAAACAAAGCGTCGAACACGCTCGTTGTTAACTCGGTGTTTCCATCAGATGTGAGCTAAATTACGGAGGCACCGGTGGTCGAACGTAACTAGCCTCTTCATGTCCGCTGCTTTAAGCGGCCAGGTTTCACAACCGTACAGTGGGGTCGAACGTACCGCTGCATTATACACTCTACCCTTCAGGGCAAGAGTGATGTCGCGCCGGCGCCGTAAGTGGCGAAGATTAGCAAAAGCGCTCCGAGGTTTTGCTATACGGTTCGTGATCTCGTTTTCAATCCCACGGGCGCTGATACAACTTCCCAGGTAGTTGAATTTTGGAACGACTTCTAGCTGATCCCCACCAAGGGTCAGCGTAGGAGGCGGTCCAGACCAATCTCGGAGGAACTCTTTGCACTTCGAGGGTGCGAAGCAAAGCCCGAAGTGACGGACAGCCAGTGCTAATCTGTCCAGTGCCGCTTGGCACGTTTGTTAGCTGTCACAGATCAGGGCAATATCATCGGCATACTCCAAGTCAAGAAGTCGTTCTCCTGGGAGCAGATCCACACCTTCAAAGTCGTGTCCTGTGAACGCGATTTCCAGCGAAGTTGAAGAAGAAAGGTGACAGCGGGCATCCTTGTCTCACACCGCTGGAGACATTAAAGGGCGACGACAACTTGCCGTAAGCCCTCACTCTGCCCGAGCTACGCGCATATAATGCTCGGCTAATATTTACATATTTCCGGGCACACCTTTCCTGAGTAGACAGTCCCAAAGTGCATGTCTATCCACCGAATCGAATGCACATTTGATATCGAGGAACACGACAACGGTGGGCCGCCAATATATGTGACGGTGCTCCAACAACTGATGCAGCAACGAGATGCTGATAGCCGAATGAGGTTGCTGAGAGAACGCTTACTGGGATCGTATGTACCATGAAGAATGTCTGCTGTATATCTAACTTGAGACGTCCAAACTGCTAATGGGTCTCTGAGGCATCGATCAGTTTGATCAAAGTACAGAAACAGGTACCAATGGGTACTGGGTTTCAGTGAGTCTTTGAATCGGCCGGAAACGTTGATGGGTGGCAAGGGTCCGTGAAATGCGCAAAGCCAAGGCTATTGGGAACAGTCAATGGCTGTTCCAGTTCATCCGAAACTCGGGTCCGAGGATGATATCAGTTACTAAGACAATAACTAAGAAACATCAAGAGAACGGTTGCGAAGTTGTCTTTCCACAGTGTGAGGGATACGTTTGAACTTGTTAAGCGGATAAAAAGCTGAATCTGAAGGAGAAAAGGATTCTCTCCGTTAATATTGTTTCACTCTTTACTAACCTCCTTTTAATACAACGGTGAATTTTATGTGTAAACAACTAACAGTAAACAGTAGCGTCATCAATACTCCAGTACATAAATCGAAAGAACTCATTCTATGTTATACTCATAACAGGCTGTTTCTGTACGACGGGCAATACTATCGGCGAATAGATGTAGTTGCGATGGGATCACCCTTGGAACCGCTACTCCCTGATTTTTTCTTACGCTAAGTCGAACGCGGTCCCATCCGACATGTTATCGCGTCTCTTGATTCGTATCAACAATACATGGACGACACGTTTATCGTCTGTGACTGCAGGGTCGATCCTTTACACCTCTTGGACCAGTTTAACCGTCCGCATCCATCATTGAAGTTCACTTGCTAGACGGAGAACGCCGGTGCACTGGTTTTTCTAAACGTTCTGTTACGACGACGGAGCGGTAAGTGGCTTGAAAGTAGCGTATACAGAAAACCAACTTGGGTTGGCCAGTATACCAATTTAATCCGCTTCGTTCCTGTGAAAAATAAAAGCAATCTTTTGCGTTGCTTGTACTATCAAGCAACAAAACTTGTAGCCCAGAATCGTTAGAAGAAGAAAAAGACTTCATTCATAGGAAGATATAGTGGTGCAGTTCAATAATGCGCGCCTGGCTATTAAGTTCACATACGAACTTGAACAATAGGGCCAGCTCTATTTTCTGGATGTACACCTGTGTAGGTTAGCTGATGATTCCCTATTAAGGAAGACCAACAGAAAGAAAACATGGAACGGTCAGTATACATACTTCGATAGTTTCGTACCGCTTGAATACAAGCGCAACTTAGTGCGCTGTCTAACGCCGAGAGCTCGAGAGATCTGTTCTGAAGATGCTCCAGACGATGAAATGAAATCCATACAGAACGCGCTGCGTGAAAATGGCTATCCTTATAAATTTATACAGCGCAACATACAGCTCATCATAACATCGGACGTTGAGCAAGTAGCTGAAAAGAAACCTCTTTTCATTCGCCTTGGTTTTAAAGGCGATACAATTGCGGAGCTTATAACAAGAAAACTGACGCAGTCAGTAAGGAACACTTTTCCAGCTGCGGAACTGCCGTGTATATTTGCCACCAAACCGCTTATTCCTGTGTGCAATAAGGACAGGCCGTCGAAGCCGACCGCTTCTTACATAATCAATCGATTTGAGTACACCTGTGGTGCAACATTCATAGGCCGAACAGCTCGCCACTTGTCACATCGCATTAAAGAACATAGTTCTAAATGGTTGGTCAACGAAGGTACTGGAGTTTTTACAAGCGGAATTCTCTCTCATCTATTCGAATCAGGTCACAGGGTGAAGTTTCTGAAGGCATTTACTGTGATTTACCAGGTCCTCTTGAACAAGTCGAAAGGTCTGCGTCTACGAATGTTCGCCCCAGCAGAAACTATCGCGATCCGAATATCCCAACCTCAGCTGTGCTCACAAAAGAAGTTTCTTCAATCGCTAAGTCTGTCCTGGACGAACAGCATTCAACCTAACCGTCATTCTGACATCGGCGTCGTCAGTTTGATTACCTAACACCTATCGATCTGTGTGTGTGCAAGACAGCGACCAACTATCTGCTGTCTAACCATTGACCTACATCTGAACCAATCACCATGCATTTACCTGCGTATTTTAACCTTATATGATTTGTACCGGCTCATAGATGATTCATTGAAAACAATTGTTCGCTACTATATGTTTACCCTATGGCTAAGACTAACGGATTCCCACTTAACGGATACTTTTATACCTTGTGTGTCTGATGTACCCCAGCTTTAATTTTCACACAAATTGATCATTTGGGTTAAATGAATCGCTCATGTCTATAAACCCGCTCTTTTTTAGCGGTTGTGATTTGCAGCTGTAACTAAACAATGCCTTTAGGTATAGTGACGGGAACCTGCTTATCAGCTGCAGTCGTGTCATCGTGAGAAGTCTTATGGTCAAACTAGTTAACCGTTAACTCTTGTTCCATTGACGAGTACCACAAACAGTTTGCTTAACTCTGCGCTCATTTTTGTTTGACAGGTTAACCGATGATGCATGTGCACCGGTGTTACGCGATAAATAGCGGTCACGAAATAGACCTGCTGTCTACTGAATTCACATGCTTCGTTCATACTTTCATTTGCGGTCTACATCATGACTAAAATTTCTTGAACTAACATTTAGTGGCTGTCTCTAGAGGTCTTAATTGCAGGTGAATAGTCCTATATGTTCTCTCTGTCTCTCACGGAGAGACAAAGTCTTACACTCTTAGATGTGAACTACCTTCACCGGGATCCTGTAAATACGACCTTTAATAACCAAGGAATCCCCCTTCCTGGTGCCTGAGAAGCCATCTTGAACAGAAACTTATTTGTTCTCTCCTCCGGGTTTCCTGTTCCACACTAAGATCCCTTTTACTGAAGAAACCAAAGAGGTATCACCGTCCTAGTCATTTGATGGAGTCCGTCATATTTGTCACCACCGGTCTCAAGCAGCTACCCTTGCGGTCAACACAAATGTTGCCACATTGATCGATTCACCGCCGTCGGCTTGGGCAATCTGTTCCCACACGTGTTCCAACAGATCGGTACTTCTGCAATCCTTACATAGCAAGACACTGGAAGCGTAGACACGATGTCACACGGTAGTTGATGACTGTCTGTGAACGTGCGTTTTGACATTGGGTCTGTGCTAGGAGCCTTTCAGTCTTGATTTACGTCGTCCACACGCTTCTCATTTCTTCTAGTTGATGAGTGATAATTTTCTGGTTGTGAAGTATCAGCAAAAAATACTGGAGTATTGTGATAGCGATGTCTTCGATATGAACGCCTCGTCGAGTTTCATCATCTGTTTTTTTTAATTTGCAATGGGCACCTCCCTAGCAGGGCTTGTTTACTTGTCGTCATACATGTCCAGTATCGCAATTCCTGTTACGTAACCATAGCTGTTCTTGAACTGGTTGTACCCAACTTTTCAGGATCCGCACTGTGTGTGCATTCCCATTGGTTTTGTAATCACTTTTATCTGATGATGTTTACCTTTGTGCCGACAGTTCGCCTTTGTTATCGTTGTAGGTGTATCGAGATGTCAACACGCGAGAAGACTCCTCTGTTCTTGATACCGTCTCTTTGTCTTCAGTTGGCTCCGGGAGCCACCGTGGGTCTACTCACAGTCAGTCTGCGTCGACACGCCTTTTGCTGGAGGAACAGGAGAGATACCATCGTTCCAATCGTTTGATGGATACACATTTGGCAGCTGCGTCCACCATTCGGACTACACTGCGCAACCAACGAATGGCCTTGCGCAACGCGTCTGACGACCTTCATAAGCTTATCTCACGATTTCCACGCTTGAAACAGCTTATTGGGAAAATCGATTGGCGGCATCGTAAAGACTCGATCATCTTGGGCTTGGTCATTTCTTGTTGTGTCGCTTTTCTTATTATCTACAAATTCGCATAGTTGCCACCGGTGCTACAATGCAATTACTCTGTGATTCAGGTTTACCGACCATTGTATATTTTTATGGTGTGTTTTCGTCACCTATTTACACCTCACAAGTGTTCATAGAATTTACCTATATTTTTGTCTTTCATTGGCCTCCTTTTCTTATGCGTCTGTGTTTGCTGCCACCAAGCCGGTCATGTAACTGGTTGGTATCCATTTTCCATCGATAGCATCTCTTGACTATATCGACGACTATTTGATGTGGGCCGATGTTTTTGATAGCCAGACCACTTCAACTTCTCTCGAACACTGTCCTCTTTGTTTCCCAGGCGCAATAACCTTCTTGGTTGGATATTGAACTTCATCTCTTTGCACCTCGCGTCTCCGCTGTACACTTGTTTTTCCTTGGCCCTAAATTGAAGTAGAACGAATTAATTCTTTTCTCAACTTTGGGAATTGCTCTTCTTTTTCCTACTCAGCATTTATGCCAGCTTGTTCTGACTTTCTGATCGAATCAGTCTCATTTGCACCGCTATTTTAAGCCTCCGGCTACTGATACCGTCCTCATTTGTCCACAAGCGAATGACGATCAAGTTCTGCGCCACACCACACCTCGTTTGCGGCATCTTTTGTGGTACCCTCGTGTTCAAATCGAATGATGCCGGTTTTGTGTCGATCACGCGTTTGTTGTGGTACTTGCTTTTGGCAACGACGACAACAATGATGACCAGTTTTTGGAAGCACGTACCGTTTAGCAATTTTATAGTCTTATGGACCTTTATTCCTTTTATTGACCCCCAGGCTACGAAGCTGGTGGTGAACCTTGACCTCATGTCTCAGCGGCCGCGGTGATCTGGGGGCTGCTTCATGGCGGATTTCGGTCCCAGCCGAGATCACTGATCGCAAGCCAACACACCTAGATCAGCGCCTACCACTCGAGTAAACGACGATTTTAATGTCGAAGTCGTTCCGATTCCAGTAAGACTTTTGATGACCGTTTCATCCTTTCACGATACGTCAGTAGTGACGTTCCCCCCGTCATCCAAATGTTACCGCTGGGCTACTGGTGTTGGCAGCAGTCAACGTAACGATATAACTGTCTACTCTCTGGTGCGACTCGTCCCCCCTCGATGTGTGCAGGGGCGCGCTTTGTGTCTCACACCCGAAATTCCTCACTGAGTAACCAATCTTCGAGTCAGGTTATGTTCTGGCTTTCAAGGGAGTATTTTCTCCGTGACCACTCCTGTACTCACCATATTGGAAATTTGTACGGCCGATGAAAGATGAGCTGCTGTATGTCAAACCTAGCTGTCTGCATATAGCGGCTGAATTCGACTTTCTGTGACTTTCGTATCCGAGCGCTCGAAGACTCGCCCGCTCTGTCTTTCATTCCGTCATCGGCATTGGTGAAACCGACCCGGGGAACGCTCGTCAAATTTTCCAGATCGTCTCCGACGTTGTAGACTTATTTGCAAATGCAGATGATTCGGTTTTTCATTGAGCTCTTCACCCCACCTTTTATAATGCACTTGGATTTGGTGAGTGCATGTGAGAGATGCTCTGCTTCGAAAGCGTTCACTCGCTATCTAGGACACGAGTGTCCCAGCTTATTGCCCAGTTTCTTGCATGGCTCGAAAACCTTATAACAGCTTGGCCACGCCTCCTAGCTCATCACATAACAGCTGTCGTCGTCCGGTACAGCTACGTGGCACTTGTCAGTTCGCGTAGCTGAACCATTTTCCTCATTGATACTGCACGGCTAAGGTATGCAGTAACTGCGTTGAGTTACAGCTTTCAGGATGTCTCCCAGTATAGAAAACTTCTCACAATGACCCGTGAAACACGGCCTGATGAGGAGCGAACAGACAGATTTTTGTGCACCTTTAGGAAGCTTCATATTCTGCGTCTCTGGGATAACCTGTTGGAAAATAATCTTGCGTCAGCCAAGTCCTTAAAATTTGTAAGGAAAACCTTTCATCTATCCGAACACACTTACTATGACATCTAACTTCCAGTAAAGTTATATTCACTGCATTTTACAATCGGCTCCCACATCTACGGCGCCTAAATTTTGGTAGCTGTTGTGGGTTAGATAGCACGTCATGATAAAAATCTGTTATTATGTGCACTGACATCAGTCTGTCAAGAGACACTGGTTCCTGTCTAAATCAGCTCATCATCAGATCAGTTTGCTTTGATTACACAGCCGGACGGCAGAATAGATAAACCGAACTGTCTGGGTAGTCACGAAACATTTGCTAAACACCGGTCACCGAGTCAATCCTCATGAGTAGTCGTTCACAATCTTAACGCGCGATCGTCGGCCCCACATTCTTAGGCTACTGTGTGCCATCCTTTATCGATTGCGAACGTTCACGGTTGTGTACTCCAAAATAGCTAACTGTGGCTATAAACATGCGCTGGTAGTGCACGTCTTTGGCCATGTACAAATGTCATATGGCACTGTTTTGGTTTGTCTATCGCCCAATTCAGAAAAGAAATTTCTTTTCGGTACTACTCATCAGACGAATACATGTATAAAACTGGTTAAAACATTGCAATAGGTTATGAAAGCTCGGATACGGTTGGTCAATTTCAAGCGGGCTGCACTGTTCGTCCATCAGACCCTCCAATCGATACTGATAGTCCCGCACAGACAAACATACACATACACACAAAACACGACGATTCGTCCGTCCGATGGAGTGACAAGGATAACTGAGCGGGGTAGAATACATCGGACACACGACCAGATGTTTGGCGAAACGGATAGCGGAACATTGTCCAGGAGCTTTGTTTAAACACACAGTTAGATGCATCATTAACCTGCGTAAGTCAATGTTGCTAAACCTGTTATCCGAAAATGGAGTTCAGCCGGATGTGTGTAATCTGTTGCGCGACTATTTTAAGCACCATAGTCACTTCATCAGGTTAAACGGTAAGAAATCCACTATCCTCTGTGCCGACTGTGGTGTTCTGCAGGAAGCGATTCTATCACCTTTTCTATTTTCCTTATTTTTTACGTCTCCCTATGCAAACCACGTTCATAGGATGCAAATATGTCGGCAATGTTATGCTGAAATTTATGGCCCCCGCTATCCAGCATTGCTCATCACTTCAACGTGGGTTGAAAGATCTGGTGGAGTGGTCTTCATCCAGATCCATTACACTTAACGCTTCTAAATGTAGCGATGCACTATTTTCTTTTTTGTGATAAGTTGCAGTCCCCCACAGATGTTTCCCCCACCTTTCTTATTGTGAAATCAAATTCCATGCCCAGATCATCCGCGGTCAAGTATCTCGGCGTTTTTTGTCCCAGCACCTTCTTTGTCCACGCATGTCTGTGAAACCTTATTTTTATGCCCCCAGAATTAAGGTGCTTTCATTACCCCGTACTTTAATGTTCAATTTTGTGATCTCCTGCATTATACCCATTGGTTATGCTACTCTCCTGTAACTTCTTTGAACTGCTTCAGAAAGACTGCATCCCATTGGTGCGATCGCTAAAGCACATTTCTACATGCAGCGCTTTGTCTAGAGAATCTTGAGGACATCTAAACATCATGATTGCTGCAATAATTTTTCTTCTAAATTACTCTGACCAATTTTATCCACTTCACAATGCTTTTTCAAAAACGCGCTCTTTCGCTTCTACGCGCTCGAAATCCAAGATTTTATTTCTCCGCACGTCATCGTATCGTAGTATTGATTTGCCTTATCCATTTTGTTTGCTTATTAACCCAGTGAAAGTCATAAACATGCTGTGCGAGCGGTTGTTGGAGTGACATCAGCATATTTCCAGTTTTTCTCTCCAATTATGGATATTATCTTGGCATCATCCATTTTGTCCGCGGTGGTGATGCGACTGCTGAAAACGAACCCATTAAAGTTCAAAAAGCTTATTTTTGAACATTTTGTCCAAATTGAGCACTAAGTTATTACCAAGGAAGCTTTCAAAGTTGTCTACGTCGTCCAAACCGCTACACAATAGAACTTAGAAAACTCCTACTAAGGACGGTCGAGGCCATTGCGATCAGGTTAATGCAACCTGAACTGTGCAAACAGGGGACGCTAGTGCAAGCAATTCTGTTGCCATGACCATGATTTCACTATGAGCGCCGTTCACGGCCGGTGACTCAGTTGACCCTGTCACCCCGTCGTGTTTGTGTGTGTCTGTGCGTGACTATCACCATCGATTGAAGTCGTGTTGCCCTCTGGGAAGCAAGAAGACTGGGCCGCGTTCACGAAATCTCTTATCAAGATTACGCTCGCATATTTATACAATGTATACACTATCTACAATAGTCCGTTTCAATCGCTCATCCTTGTTATTTGCATTGTGTCGCTGGCTCCTTTTCCATTGGTTTGTGCTTGTTCGCCACTTCACTCTGTCTAAAATCACCTTGACTTTCTTACTCGATGTACGATTGGCGGGATTGGACCCGCGTGCTTCTTCCCTCGGTCCAAAGTCACAAGCCTTGGCTCAAAGGTGCACAAGTATGCGCTCCTTCGCCAACTGGCGCCTGATTGGTCACTTGCACGTTCGGTGGATGGTTGCAAGCGGGCCACAATCACGGGCCAACTATTTCCTGATTGGCTGACCAATCTGCTTCCGGCAACATGCGCACTTCCTATCGGTCTGGCCTGTGACGTTCGGTCGGCCTTACAGCATTTCCAGCCCCATCACAACGAACAATGCAGCCCGTTCGAAATTGACCAACCCTAGCCGAACTTTCATAACCAATTTTTACATGTATCCGCCTGATGTATTTTATCTATCACTGTTACATGTCTGTGATTGATAAGAGTGCACGAAATGAGTATGTCATCTCATGACTTACGTCTTCTGACATTCCAATCACAATACGAATTTAATGGGCCACTAGTTCAAGTTTGCTATGCAGTACAGTCGGCTAGGATGCCGGCGAAACTTTTACTCTCTTCTTGTGTGCCAGCCATGGAACGCCCTCCCAAATTACGTTGTTTCCGCCCCCACTTTATCTGTATTTAAAATGCACCTTGAGGCTGTCCTAACCCACCTACACTTCCAACTATAGCTAGTGTACATCGACAGAAAATATAATGTAATGAACGTTGCGTATCCTGCACTAACCTACACAGCTGAGGTTGGCTCCTTACTGCATACCTCTGTGTGAACACTGTGGTGAGTCCATCAAAACGAATTTCATTTTATCATTTCCTTTTCCCCACGTTGTGTTTTCTGGTCATCCATCGGGACTTGTTAAGCATCCGCTTTTTTACCCGTAATATGCCATTGTTCATGTGACAAAATGAACTGAGCTGAGTATGAAATCCAGTTTATTTTTTCTGAAAATAGCTAAAGTGGTGCACAAACCACTGTTTGCAAAGGCGTTCCAGTTTTGACACACTCAAATGACAGAGTACTTTTGTTTTGATTTTAAGCTATTGCTTCTCAGATTAATGCTCTGGTTGATTTTCACAGATTGCCACATGATGAGCACTGAACAAT